GAGGAGGAAGGAGACACCAAACTGTGTGGACAAAATGGCAAAAAAAGTTGATATTTTTTTTTGTTCTTTTAGCGGTGGTGGCGGCAACAGCGGTGGCGCTGATAATGATGATGATGGAAGAAGAAGGAGACCATGGAAGTTGGAGAGAGAGAGAGAGAGAGAGAACGAGAGAGAAAGGAGAGACTAGTCAGGGCAACTGAAAGTCGGGTTGATTTTTGGTTTCAGGGTCTTCCAGTTCTTCTGCCTGTTCACGTGGCACAAGGAGGAGGGCGCAACTACGGATAACCGTATGGCGGAATTTCAATGTCTAAAATGAGCGGAAGTAAAACGAGAGAATGAAAACAATGAAAGAAAAAAAAGGAAACTTATTCCACGTCTGTGTACAGAAATTACCACATCTCTCAGATGTTGGCAAAGTGTAAATAAGAAAGGATGATTTTAAACCAGGAGCACGGAATAGACTCACACGTGTCAGGATAGAATTGTCCGACGGCAGCAACCTGAGCTTTCTGTGTATCCACATCACTGGGAGCTCCATTCTCTTGTCCACTGACACCGTTTTCCTGAGCCCCAACACCTCCCACATTAACACTAGTGGTGGCGACGGGAGTGGAGGTGGACGAGGTTTGTGAAGGTTGTTGGGGCGATTGTGACTGTGATGGTGGCATCGTTGGAGCCGGTGGTGGTGGTGGTTGGAGACTTTTAGCCCCAACCAATTGTGCTTGCGCCTGTGTCTGCAGTGCATAGAGACCCTGCCCATAGTCGAACATTGGTAGGCCCGATTTTGCGTCTGCCAGTGCTGGTCGCTTTGCTGGTGTGGCTGGAGCGGCTAGTGGCGCGACCCCTGAGGCATTTGCAGCAGCAGCGGCGGTGGCGGCTGCTGCCATTGCCGCCAAGTGCGCCGCAGACAGTCCACCGGCACCTGCACCGACCCCATTGGCCAATGAAACTGAAGTCGGTGGTACTGACTTTAGTGCCGCTGCTGTTGCTGCTGCCGCTGCCATTGAATTGAGCTGCGTC